TCTCCCTCTCTCTCTCTCTCTCTCTCTCTCTCTCTCTCTCTCTCTCTCTCTCTCTCTCTCTCTCTCTCTCTCTCTCTCTCTCTCTCTCTCTCTCTCTCTCTCTCTCTCTCTGTCTGTCTGTCTATGCACGTGTGTGGTGTTCAGGGGAGCATTTGGCGGCCGTTTCGCCTGCGTTCAAGGATTCCCTGACAGAGCGCGTCACCATTGTGTGTGAGGGCTCCGTCTGGAAGTCGTGGAAGCTCTTTGAGGTGCGCTATTGTGCTGCTGTTTCTGTGGACGTCCCTCTGCTTCTGCAGTCTTGTCAGGTTTGCATGCTTGCCTCACATGTCTGCCTGAACTCAAATGCGCAAATGCACTGACAGGCAAAGTTCACCGAGGTTGTCAAACGCAAGGTGAAGACCACCAAATGGTGAGTGAAAATAGGAAGGCCTGCTGCGATACACACCCGTGTACACGCACGTCCAACTCGCTCACTTTGCAGATGCGCTCGCACCCCACTCACTCCAACAACACCCCAACAACACCCCAACAACACGCACAACAACACACACACGCACACTGCCGTATGTTTCCACGACGCATGTGACAGCCTTGAGCTTGCGCGCCCGACTGTGAGCGCGGCCCACGGTGCCGCTGTGCTCGGTGCGCGGGAGGCAAAGGTGCCACTCACCGTGGACGTCGCACAGAACAAGGCTGTCCTCGCCACCATCACCCTTGGTTGACGCCTTTGACACTGCACAAACAAAACAAGGAGAACAAGGAGAGTGGAAGAACGGGCGCGACAAATGCCCACTGCCGAATTTCCCTGGTTATCTTCATCTTTTTCTCTGGTCTGCATGCACAATTAACGACGCTTCCCACAAACCAAAACAACCCACTAAAACAACAAGCAAGCAACAAGGCAAAGATGATGGTTGTTGCTCGTGGTGTTGTGCGTGCTGTGTGCGCCGCAGCAGGCTGTCGCCTTGCCGTTGGTGGCCGCGCTGCTGTCGGTGGTATGGGTCGGCGGTGCCAGCACACGGACGCTGGCGAGGAGCAGGAGGGAAAGCACATCCCGTATGGCCAGGAAGGCACAGGTCAGTCCCGCACTGCGGCAAAAGCACACAGCGCAGAGGAGGGGACCAGGCAAAGCAGGACTCCACAAAGAGATGACAGCAATCCACTGTGCAATTGCACAACACACACACACACACACACACACACTGCTGTGTGCTTGACTTTGGGTGATGACAAGATGATGACGCGAGACAGGACGAGAAGAGCTGGAATGCAGTGATGTTTGACATCATGTCACTTCATGTCACATGTTGTTGTGCTTGTGCCTTAATGTGCGACTGCCCCCATTCGAATCATCCCAGGGTACTATTCGCTGGCGACCAAGGGCTGCTTCGATGTCATCAACAACGCATCCGATCTCGCGCTGAACAGCCTGCGCACGGCAGTCGATGCGTACAAGGCCCGCAATGACGGCAAGCCGTTTGTCATTGCCGATTATGGCACGGCAGACGCCGGCACATCCATGCCCCTTATTACCGGTGCGGCGTCTTAGTTGTGTGTGCCTGTGTGTGTGTGTGTGTGTGTGTGTGTGTGTGTGTGTGTGTGTGTGTGTGTGTGTGTGGATGTGTGTGTGTGTGTGTGCCTGTGTGTGTGTGTGTGTGTGTGTCTGTCTGTCTGTCTGTCTGTCTGTCTGTCTGTCTGTCTGTCTGTCTGTGTCTGTGTCTGTGTCTGTGGCTGCAACAACCACAACCTTTTTCGTGCACCTTCCCTTCTCACACATGATGCTGCAACCGCGCACCAGTGCTGCTGAAGGAGCTGGAGACACTGATTGGCGAGGACCCCGTCACCTTCATATACGAGGACCAGACAACTAACGACTTCAACAGCGTCTTCAAGCGCGCCCACGGCCTCATCCCCCCTCCCCAATCATACAGTACGCACGCATTTGTATGCGTGTGTGTGTGTGTGTGTGTGTGTGTGTGTGTGTGTGTGTACATGTGTGCATGGATGCTAACGTGCACTTGTCCCAGCTCATCCTCCAACCCACACACGCGCGCGCTTGTCAGAGGATGACACGCCACTGCAGCCATTCGTACAAAAGTACAACAACACGTTTGTCATGGCTTCAGGCACCAGCTTCTACGAGCAGGTGCGCAATCGTGTCAGTGCCATGTCCTGTGAAGCTTGTGTGTGTGTGTGTGTGTGTGTGTGTGTGTGTGTGTGTGTGTGTGTGTGTGCGTTTCTTACTCACACGATTCCACACACACATACACACACACACACACGAACGAACGAACGAACGAACGAACGGCAGGTGACGCCCAACGAAACGGTTGATCTCGGGATCAGTGCGACGGCTATGCACTGGCTCACGTCGTCCCCATGCGCCATCCCAGACGCCCTCCACTCTGCGTACTCAAAGGATGGTGCGTACACTACAATGGTGGTCGTGCTCTGGCAGTGTCTTTCAAGCAACCACCTCACTCACTCACTCACTCACTCACACACTCACTCACTCACTCACTCACTCACTCACTCACTCACTCACTCACTCACTCACTCACTCACTCACTCACTCACTCACTCACACCTGCACCGTGCAGCGGCGACGCTTGCCAAGTATGAGGAGCAGGCGTTCTCTGACCTGCTGCGCATCTTCCAGCACCGCGCAGCCGAGCTCAAGTCTGGCGGGCAGTTTGTCTGCATCAACTTTGCAAAGGACGACAAGGGCCAGTTCCTCGGTCACACGGAGCAAACACCAGGTACCGCCGCTGCTGTCGCTCTCACTCACTGCTCGCGCTTCAATTGTGGGTGATTCGGAAGCGATCACACATATCCACACTCACGTTTTGTGCTTCTTCGCACCACCCCCTTCCCTTGTCTCTACCCACCCCACCCCCTCTCCTTCGCTGCAGCGTGCATGCACACGACCTTCTACGAGCTGTGGTGCGAAATGGCAGATGAGGGCCTGATCACCAAGCAGGAGGTGCTCAACACAAACTTTCCAAACCAATACCGCACCATCCGTGAACACCAGCGTGTCCTCGACGGTTCGTGTTGCTTCATGTTTGTCACAACTCTCTTGCTCACACACACACACACACACACA